GGAGGCCGCCTGAACTTGGGAAGCTATGTGTCTGTCTGAACCGACATGGAGCCCCTGGCAAGTGTCCCGGCTGTCCTGCCCCTTGTGAAGTAGGCTCTTTGCAGTGTGACACAGACAGCAATCCCCAAGAGGCCTGAAGAGAAATATGTCTGAGAACTGAGCTCAGAAAGACCGATCAGGGAAAAGATCCCTGACAAAGAACAGAGGCGAAGGACGGCGGAAGACTGCTTGCTATTTCTAAACCGAAAAGGCCGATTTTCTATACATATGGAAGGTGGAAAAAGAAGCGATGTTAGGAATCCTTTCATAATGATTTGCGTTTTAGATATTAAGATTAAAGTGAAATCGGCATAAATCATGAAGACATTATAAGAGTTAGGGTGCAGTGGGGACACGGGGGTTTGGGAGCGGCGGTTCTGGAGAGGAAGGAGAATGAAGCAACGGGAACCGGGAGCCTCTGCCACGGTTTTCTGACTGTCAGAGAACAACTGGGGACACTGGCAGGTGATGGAGTCCCCCGGCTCGGCCTACGCAGAGGCTGGGGGAAGGGCCATGTGAAAGAGGAAAGACAGGCAAAGATGAAAAAGATTCTGTGAAAATGCCAGAACAGGGATGCCAGAGGTGGTGCTAATAAGCAGGGCTCGAACCAAGCCCATCAAGAGAAAGATGATTTTAATAAAGAAGTAAGACGCCTCTGTCTCTGAATGCAAACGGAAGTGTGACAAAAGACGATTAGCAGTGGGAAGTAGGAGGTAAGCAAACTCAGACTTCTCAGAAGTGAGGACTAGTGACCACCGTCTCCAGGGATTCTAGCCTAGCGGGTCATCTGGGTTCCTGCCGGAAACGCCTCTGGCCTGGTCCTTACCTGGGTGGGTGTGGCGGCGAACCCCTCTCTCCACCAGCCACGGCTCTTCCCCTTTCTCCAAGTGGAGGATCACATCTGGCTTGGGGAGTTGATGTCCTGTTCACAGTGAAAGATATAAAACTGGGTTAGGGCTGGGAGCTCCAGGCTGGACAAAAAGAAGCACCCACAACCCCCAACCCTTCATAGTTCTGGGGGACTCTAAACTATAGACTAGAGGTGAGGCAGCAAAATATGCATTTTCAAAAGTTCAACAAATGAAAACAACTTTTTTCACAAAAGCAGTATAAAGAAAGAGGTCCAAGCTCATGCTCGGGTATTTGCTTCAGGGTGTCCACATCTTTTGACCAGTAAAGAACCAAAACATGACAGGGAGTGTATCTCCCAAAACAGAAGTTAGTCTTACCCAATGAAAGCAGATTCTTATAGTTCTCCAGAGTCACATCTTTGTACAGGATCTGCTGAGCTGTGTCCAAGAGCTGCCACTCCTCCCTGGTGAAGTTTACAACTACATCCTTGAAGGTCACCAGTGTCTGCAACACGAAACACATTTGTACTAAGCCAGATGTGTGTCTTTGCCCTCCCTCCTTGAATATACACAGGAAGAGAGATCAGGCAGATAGCACTGGGGTTGAGAAGAGGACGGACCAGGATGCACTCTAGGAGTTAGTAGTATGTTTGTTGGCTTCTGGACAAGGCCTAAAAGGAATGGTTATTAGGTACCTACTGTCCAAAAACCAGTTATGCTTTAGGTTTAGAAAATGTCAGAAATACTTTAAGTCGATTTTGCTATAAAGTTATAGCAAGGAGAACCAGACACTGAAAGTTAATCTACATTTGTATAACGTGAAATAAAAAACCTAATTCAAGGCTGGAAAAGAGGAGAAAATAGTCTTGAGTTCAGGACAACTTAATGCTTAGAAGACCAACCTAGACATGTTTTATGACCTAAAGTAATTACCTAAAACATTTTTCCTACACATTTATAGGCATAAGAAAATGGAGAAAAAATTACATTTTTATAGTAGCAAACAATTTGAGAAAGAAACAATAGACACAGAAGCAAGGCCTTTATCAGCCACATCCAGAAGAAGTGAAGATTATAAGTGGGAAAAACCCTATTTTAATGACTGAGAATTTCTCATCAATGGCTACGAAGGTCAGAAGACAGTGGAGGAATATTTTTTTTAATGTGGGGAAAAGAAAACAACTGTCAAGGTAGAATTTCTGTGTGCGGTGGAAGTATCTTTCAGGAATGATGCAACACACTCTCAAATGAAGTAAAACAGAATTTGTCACCAGCGGATCTGCTCTAAAAAACGTGGTAGAGGCAGTTCTTCAGGCAGAAGGGGATTGGTGCTGGGGAGAAACTTTCAATCTCAGAAATAAACAATGAGCAACAAGGAAAGCGGTTCCTATCTGGGTAAACAGGATAAACTGGGTTCCGGAAGTCCTTGGAGCTGAAGTCCCCGGAGCTCCGCAGCGCAGTCGCCAGCAGCCCGGGTAGCGCTTCCCGGCGGCCTTTTCACCGTCGCCCAGAAAGAGGCTAAGCCAGGCGCAGGCAGCCGGGTCCCCGCCCCGGGAGCTCTCTGGGCCCTAGTCACAGCGCCCCTGACGGTTACATAACGTGTCCCCGAGTTCCTCTAAAGAGCACAGCCGGCGTCGCCCCCAGGACGCCCAGGGACCAGAGGAACCCGGACGGGCACACACAGTCTCAGTTCTTCCACCATCTGTGGGGCAGGGGCTGCCACGGGCTCGGTTCCGCAGTGTGGACGGGAGAGTGCCCCACTCCCTGGCGTCGCCTCCCTGGACCCCCGCCCCACTGCTGACGAACTCGTGCTTCTCTCGTGAGAGGAACAAAACGACCGCTGCGGATACGGCGAGTGCCCGAGCCC